GTGTCAGGACAAGGTTAATTAGAAGTTTTGTGCTGTTCACTCACTGTCTCTCCTTCTCCTGCTGCTCTTTAATGATTTTGTTGGTCTCCAGTGCCACCTTCTTCTGGTGCATCAGCTCCTTCCTCTCCAAGTCCCTGCGGGCCTCCAGTGCCAGACGCTCCTCATCTGTCATAAACAGCTCACTGCCCTGAGAGAGAGAGAGCCACAGACAGTAATGACGGAAAGACATACAGCAGGGGTCCTCAAACTTTAGCTCTGGAGACTGACAGGCAAGTCCAAACCAGTCTGTCTGACCGAGAAAAGAGGGGAGATGTCAGTTTTTGGAACCTGACATCCTTGAAGCCTCTCAGAATCATCGAGTAGATCAGCAATTTCTATTACTGGTATATAATTACAATATCCTGTGTTGTTCTTATTAATAGCTGCATCTCTTCTTCTTTTTGGCCCGAGTGTAATTAACTGAAGCAGGTGCTGAACTTAAGAGCAGTCACACCCTAATGTCTGGGTTTGCAGCATTGTTCATACATTCTTCTGTTATTGCACCAAGTCTCGACCCTGGATTCATCAGACCCTTTTTTCCTGTCGTGTCCTGTATATGTCAGTCTTGAAGCATTTGTCCTTGTTAACCTCTGCTGAGAAGTGGTACAGAGACCACTAAACATCCCTCAAGACCACATGCATCTTTTTGTGACCTTGGCGTATTGATTTTCTGATGGTGTGCTCACTTTTGGTGTTCTTGTTCGTGCTTTGGATGCAACTGATACGGTTCCTGGAAAGTGTTTCAGAGTACAATGCACAGCCTACTTAGAAACCCTCAGCCTGCTGACAGCCTCTTTATCCTTATAACCCTCCTATGACCTGATGGCATGTTTTCAAATGTCACAGTACTGATTAATAAACAATTTTCTGCAGGTAGCGTGAGGTATAGCCACATAAAAGCAGGTGAAAATGGCTGCTGATTTACATCAGCATTAATTATACACACTGTTTCAGCAGAATAGCTCTAACTTAATTTTTAAATTTAAATTCAT